GGCCTCCATTAGAGTCCTAAACTGACTGTCATCATCGTCCCATGGAATCCATCAGATCCCCAATTGTGGACTTGGGAAAGTTTATCCAAACTGCCTGCAGTGCTGGTGCCAACTGTCGGAGGTGCTGTGGTTGTTGCTGATATGTTCGCGGTCGTTGATCCACTGCAAAACGATTGGGTTTTAACCTGGAGACCTTGACGGCCATGGCAGGTCCTTGGATTTTGTGATTCCTAAAAAAGGCTGTTGTCAGTCTTACCATGTGAGGTCGGGCGTTGTCTTTTAGGAAATGGCATTCGCTTATTGCATAATGGGAAGGACGTATGGCAGAAGAATCTCAATCGTGCTGTTAAATTCTCTTGAACTTGCGCAACGTCTGTTCTACCAGTGTAGGAGATGGCTGTCCACGTTATCACACTACTACCACCAAATTTGTCACCTTCCTGTAGCCGTTTCGGGCATAAAGTCCCCCGCGACGACTGCACGACGACGTCTCCCATCCGCACGGCGATGCATAAAACGTGACTCGTCACTTAACCAAACTTGTCTCCATTGCAGTTGTGGCCATACTCTGTGATAATGACACCTTTGACGTCGCAGCCTATGTTGCAGGTCCGTCGAAATGACTACTCGAACTTGTCGTCTGGCGCGAATACCTTAAAACGGCGCGTAAACGGTTCCTCACTGTCTCGGCTGATATGCTATGCATACCTGGCATTGCCCTAGGTTTACAGAAGTCCGTAAGTAAGTCGCGTAAGTAACGTACCGTTATGAATCCGTCTAAAATCTAGTAGATCTAGTAGTGATACGTGGTCGACCAGATCTGGAATGGTAACGTATTGTCCCGTGTTGTATGTTTATTTGTTTGTTTGTTGTTTAACGCCGAGCTCGTCAATATTCCAGCTATCTGACGGCGGTTTGTAAATAATCAAATCTGGACCAGACAATCCAGTGATTGACATCACGCGCATTGATCCACGCAATAGAGATACGATGACCGTGTTGTCTTATAACTGTTCCACAGTCAAGTAATGGTGCTTGGTGCTACGTGGAAAAGCATGGCCGAAGATGATTCGCCTGTTTGGAGTAGGCTGATGGCGTTGTTGCATTGGGCTTCCGTTAGTCGTGGCATGTTTCCGCTGTTCACTTGCTGTTAGATTGTGATGGCATGAATATAGAAATCCAATGTTTCAATAGCCCAACAAAAAATTCATGTCACGTTGGAGAGTCAGGCATCAGGCTGCTACGTGCTTGTGTTTTGTCCAATCTTTTCACGCTATTCCAACCCATGAAGAAATTCATTTTTGGTATTAAATTTGTATGGATAACGGCAATACTCTGTCAGATATTTACGTTTTAATTTCTTTCGGACTAGATGTTTAAAATAAAGTATATTATATCCATCTGGATATATAAATATATTACCCCATTTTAACATTTAAAACTTATAATCATAATTTGTCAACTGACTCTGCTTGTTGGCACAATATTCTTAAAGTGGAACGATTATGTAAACCAAGCTGTTCTATTTGATACGTGTTTGATTATCTGTGTAGATGTGAACTTATTTTACATTCCTAAAGCAATTCATGAATGACCAAAATTACCGAGATTAATAATTGTTATCATCTAATAAAACAAAAGACAAAAAGCTACTCAAAATTTATAAAATTGAATGTTCAAACATGTTGCTGTTGTAAAGTTGTTGTAAAGCACCACAGATGGTATTTTTTCCAGAGAAATAAACTCTTCCGTTGCATTGACAGATAGCCAGACAAATATGTTTATTTAAGTTTTGTCCTGTGTGTATACATATTGAATAAGACGTCATAAAATACACGGTATCAAAGACACAAAAAAACATTCCATATGGAGTTACGAGATAGTTACAAATGATAGTAAGAAACGTTCATCTTTAAAAAGACAGTGACTCATCATAACAGAGATTATGTTACAATCAACTATAACAGTATACATAGCTTAATTGAATAGGTCAGTTCGTATTTTCTTCATATACAGGACACAACATTCAGAATAACACGCCTTTCATCTTTGATACAGTTACATGTTTCTTGTTTAACGCCGCACCAGTGATTGATATTGTGAGCAGATTCGGGGTACAATGACACGCTATCGATCAAGTTGACAAGTCTGTCCACCCGAGCTGTTCAGTCGTTTGTTACGACCTAGTCTAACTATGAATCCCGACGAGCGCATCACATATATGTTCTCATAACAACCAGTTTCTAATCTAAGGAGCTACTGAATCTGAATTTTGTAAAAAATCCTTCGGCAGCACAGTGACAATGACATCAATGCTTGTTGAAACCAAGTAATTAACCCATCGTTACTTGTCAAAACAGAGATACTGACGTGACACCAAAAGGGGCAGCAACAGATCGGCCACGGCCTTATGGACCTTTTTATGTATTGGAATCATGTATGATCTAGCTGCTAATATTGCCTTTGTAATGTAAAAACAATGGAGAGTGCATGTCTTTATCGATGTGATTCATACGATCATATATGTACCGGCTATGTTGACAGATCTGTGAATTAATGTATCTTCAGAGCGGATTTTACCACGCTCAATCAGAAACATTCACTTTTACGATTTATTTATTTATGTTTCAACTCTTCGGTTAAATATAGCTCTTGTAGCATGGCATGTTGCATTTCCTAGGACATTGATGTTGTCCAACACAATGAGTGCCCATGTCAGGATATAAACTATCGGGCAAAAGAAACGCCACCAATTAAATAATGGTCGTCAGTTTTCAACAAATTTGCCAAACAGCACGAAAACAGTTTGGAACACAAATCTGGAATGCAACTTACCTATTCCCTGTGAACATGTGCACGTGCTTAACGTGATTTGCGAGAAAAGTGCATTTAATCACTAAAAAATGCAAAATGTGCACAATGTTACTCGTATGAAATTCTGGTATAAAACATTAGCAGGATTGAACTCATAAAACTCACATGAAACCGTTTAAAACAATGAGCATGTCTCGACTAACCGCACAACAGAGGGAGAGAGCCATCGGTATGTTGCAAATGGGAGCGACGCTTTAAGTGCACCATCGTCTTGTCTTGCACCAGACTTGTCACGCGTCACATGCAAACTAGCAGTACTGCAGACATGCCGAGGTGTGGAAGACCCAAGGTCATGACCCCACAGGAGGACCGGGTGCTTCACCTAAGGTCCAGGACCCGGTTCAATCAAACTTTAATGATGCATTAACGTGTCATTAAACCTCCATTAACTAATGGTGCATTAAGATTTTAATGTATCATTAGGGTTTAATGTAGCCATTAGTTAAATGGGACTTTGATACAACCGGGTCCAGATTCCTAACCGTGGCGGCATCATTCGCAAACAGCCTTGGACACCCAGTCAGCAGAAGAACCGTTAACATTTCTACACCGATGTCACAGACTGAGATGGGCCAGGACTGTACAGCAGTGGCAGCAGAGAAATTGGCGAAGAGTGCTCTTCACCGACGAGAGTAGGTGCTAGCTCATCAAGCCTGATGGGCGGATTCGAATCTACAGACGACGTCGTGAACTGACGGCACGTTGTTGCGTCCAAGAAGTGGAGCCTTATGGAGGTGGTAGTGTCTTAGTCTGGGGTGGCATCTGCAGGGACCAGAAGACAGATATGGCTACCATCGACGGAAATCTCACTGCACGTCGTTACATTGATGAGGTTTTGCTGCCTGTGGCACTGCCTTTCCTGCAACGACAACCACGGACGCTGTTTCATCAGGACAACGCAACCCCTCACACAGCTCGAGTCACTTGCGACTTTTTGAACGTCAACAACGTGACCGTTCTACACTGGCCAGCCAGATCACCGGACCTGTCGCCCAAAGAGCACCTCTGGGACCAACTTGGACGCAGGATTCGGAAATGTCAACAGCCGCCATTGACGAGGGATGCCTTGCAGGAAGAATAGCGTAGGATCCCTAATCAGGAAATCAGGAGACTCGTGTACACAGTTGGAGGGGGTCACATCTGATACTGTGTAGCACGGGACTGTAAGAGTGATCGAAGTCAATTCTGTTGGTGTGATCGAATACTGGACAATGCACCCAGCATTATAAACGTGTCTGCAGAACTTTTAGCACATGTTTTTTTATCTTGTCATTTTCAAATTTCTTTTTGGAAAATTGTTTTTTTTATAATAAAACATTAACTGTTACTAAATTATGCGTCTGTTTTGTTTAAGACCAGAACATTGTTTGGTGGCGTTTTTTTTGCCTGTTAGTTTATTTCTCATATGACAGAGTTGACATGGATTTCAACTTCAAGCACAGGTATGATGCTTGGAAATGCCTCGCCTTTTACGACTGGGCCTCCCTCATGAATGATGGACTAAAGTTGTATATTAAGTTTTACAGCTAATGACTGGTTGGGGCGATAGGGGGACTAACGTGTTTAACATTATGTCACACAGCGCCGAACATGTGTGTGTGTGTGTGTGTGTGTGTGTGTGTGTGTGTGTGTTTGTGTGTGTGTGTGTGCGTGCGTGTGTGTGACCGCTTGTTCTAGTCATGAGTGAGTGAGTATTGTTTTACGCCGCTTTTAGCAATATTCCAGCAATATCACGGCGGGGGACACCAGAAATGGGCTTAACACAATGTACCCATGTCGGGAATCGAACCCGGTTCTTCGGCGTGACGAGCGAACGCTTTAACCACTAGGCTACCCGACCGCCCTGTTCTAGTCATGATTAATGCCGGTTTTCATGTGCTAGCCCACTAAGATACCCCAGTCTAAGATGGCTACCCAATTCAGACACATTATACTGACTCCAAGCCGAGCAGTCCTTGTTTTTGTCCCTAAATGCCATTTGTTACGTCATAAGCTATGACGCAGTCAGGGGATTGCACCACCACTTCTTACCAAAATTAATAGTGATGTGAGCTTGTGTAGAGTCGGGTGCAAGCATGGATGTGTGTGGTATAATGCACGTATAGATGTAATATTTTGTATTGCAGACTATCATTGACCCTCAGCTGTCGGATGAAGCTTGTTAATTTTCCACTCGATTCGCAAAATTGCCCAATGCTGATACAAAGTTGTAAGTATGTTAATGGTTTCTTAAAGGGGAAGTGTACACGCAAAAATCACTTTCTTTCTTTTTCTAAACAAAACGCAATTTTAGAATTAATTAGTATCTGTGTTTGAAAATATACACTCATTTTTTTCACAGTGAAAGTAGGAAGCTCACAATAGTGTGAAAATGATATGCCGTTATGAGGCCTTCGTTTTTCGAGCTAAACAGGCCTGAGTTATCCCCCTTAGATTATGACGTAATTGGTGCCAATTCAACTGGGTCCCTGTCTATTCTCAACGCAAAAGATATCAAGTACCAGTTTGCGGTAAAACAACATGGCCTACGACACACTCCGGCGCAGTGGAGACTCAGCATAACACTATGCTGGCTGACATCTGAGACACTAGAATCACACACATGTACCTACACCACGTGAAGCGGCTCTAACAAAGCATGATGACGTCATAATGTTTATCAATTGGCACCAATGACGTCATATTGCAAGGGGCATAAGCCATGGTGTTTTTGTTGTGGAAATAGAACACTTGGTAAATGTGAAAAATATAAATCGTTTTAATGCGAAAAATATGTTAATTAATTGTGATATTTTTATATTTTTGTCTATGACACTTCTAGGTTAACACTTTTAATGTGGAAAAAGTACAAGAAAAATAGGTTCATTTCCGTGTGAACTTGCCCTTTAAGTGAATAAGGTACAGGACAGGTGACTCATGTTTCACCATTATGTTGGACATTATTTGAACTCAATGTATATGTACAAGTTTCGTCTTGTTGCTGTTCAAATTATCAAATTATAATATGTGTTATTTGTGAAACAATGCGATTTGGAGCTCATGAGGCCATGGTGATGTGCCAGGCCGTGCCTCTTACAGTTCTGCCAAAGCATATGGGAATGATCTCCTATAAGTTGAACTTTTGCCATGCTAACGGGTGAACAGGTCAGACATTTTGACATATTTGAAGTTCTAAAGTACGAAAGTCTAAATGGTGCCACTTTGGTAGCATACTTTTATTTGTCCTAATTCAAAATTTCGCTTTATTTCAATTATTTTCTCGAAATTAAGAGTTCAATCTCCATTACTACGAGTATTTTCTCGTTATCTCATTTTTTTCCGTTATGCGATTATGTTTTCGTTATTTCAAGTTAAAATAATTCAAGGAACGAGAAACATAGGAATTTCGAGAAAATAAACATATGATTGAAATAACGAATTTCGAATTAAGAAAAAAACATATGCTACCAAAGTGCACAATTAGGCTTTCGTACTATGGCGACTTTGTTGTGTAAACTGTTCACAAAGAAGACCAACGTAATCCGCACAGCTCTCATCTAACTGAGCTTGAAGGAGGAGAGAAATGCATTGTTGAATGAACGGTTCTTTAGTATCTTTACACATATATTTTAGTAGTACATATATAATGTTGGACTGTCTTAATGTTGCACAGCCATATCTGGAACAATGTGATCAATGTTGCCGTAATATAATAGCTTTACATTGTAATAATTGGCAATTTAGTTTTGAAGATTAAAAAGTACTTTTAATTTTAATGACTGGTATTTATCAGTGACCACACTGATGGCAAATGAAATACAGTTTGCAACACATCATACTCTTTTAAAAGTGATCATGAAATATTTATGCTATGATCAGTCGTCAGAAGAAAGATAAGCTTTGAAAAATGACTGCCAGAGATAGAAAGGTTTAGGAACCTAAACCTAAAGCCCCGACATACTCGAAACATTGCACATGCACCATGCTATATCCTCCGTGCGCGTGGGTAGGGGATGATGCTGATACTTCAATGAAAGGTCGTCACATCGCTCTGAGCCATTAGTATTTTCATTATCTTAGGTAACACGTACACGGAGGTACATAAATCTTGCCTTAATGCAAGATTTATTATCACAACGCGATGAACGCCTAAATGCTCTTGGTAGAATTCGACTAGAGATAGCTAATATGCTACGGGTGTCCCAGTCTGTGATTTGCAGACTTTGCAACATCATTTAGCAAATTTGTTAGTGATCGGTCCACAAAGGGCGCACCTTGTGAACAACACACGACCAGTATAGATTAATCAGACGCTAGAAATTAGAAATCGAGCCCAAACATCCAATGAACCGGCGTTCAATTGTGCCAGACCGGAGTTTACGTTACTAACCAGACGATTAGGAACCGTCTGCACGCTCGGCGACCACTTGTTGTACCATCGTTAACAATTCGGCGCATTTTTCCAGAAGCGAATGGTGTTTAGAGCCTTTAAACTGGGGGAATCAACTTCCTAGTTAGGCATGGCCGTGTATGGAAGCGTCATCACGAACATCAACGTAATCCAACATGGCAGATTTGAGGGTGGCCTGTAATGATATGCGACAGAACCAGTGCCAGATGGAAGGGTAACTGGACGGTACAAACTATACAACATACTGGCGCAAATACTTTCACGTGGTCCACGTTCTGTATTTCAATACGATAGCACTCTTGCCCACCGTGCACAGTATCTTAACTGACTACCCCCACCAAAACATCACCAGAATGCAATGGCCAGTCACGAGTCCTGACCTTTCCCACAGAGAGAACGTCTGGTACATGATCGGGAGACGTGTACGCCAAAGTAACATGCCACCAGCTACCTTAGCCGAACTAGGTGAGGTGAGGTGAAATGGGGTTTAACGTCGCGTCCAAGATTATTGCACTTATATAGCGACGTGCATGTACGTATGTGTGTTTGTGTGGCTGCTTGTACTAGTCCAGACTGATGCCTATTTATAGTGCTAGCTCACTGAGATACCATGCCGCAGTTTAACATGAACACCCCATTCAGACACAGTGTACTGACTCTGAGCCGACCAGTCCTTGTTTTAGCCCCTTAATGCCGAGCGCCAGACAGGGTAACAACAAGTACCAACTTTTAACGTCTTTTGGTATGACGCGGCCGGGGATGGAACCCCGGACCTTCCGCTCTACCACCAGACCACGGAGGCGGTTAGCCGAACTAGGCCAGGGGATGCAAGAGTAGTTGACAACACTCACTCAAATTGTCATTTGGAGATTGATTCAGACCATGCTGCTCCACATAAATGAATATTTGACCAATCGTAGGGGCATGACCCATTATTGATCAAGTCATCTCCAACGTTCAGTGTCACACCATAGTGCTACGCATGTCTGGGTTTGTTGTTTAACGCCGCACTCAGTAATGGTACAGCTATGTGTTGGCGGCCTGTAAATCATCGAGTCTGGACAAGACAATGCAGAGGTTTATATCATGAGCATCGATCCGCGCCATTTGGACATGATGACATGCATCAACGAAGTCAGTGAGCCTGACAATCCGATCTCGTTAGTCGCCTATTTCGAAAAGCATTAGTCTGCTTCCCAGACCCAAGAGAAAAATATTAACAAGGATTCCATCTCCTTGGCAAGTCTATATTGCTTCAGCTCTTAGCTTGGGTCTGTCCAAATCTGCAGAGTCACAAGCAAGTGAGTGAGTGAGTTAATATTTTAAGTCACATCGGCAGTATTTCAGCCATATCGTGACTTGGAATATAAGTTAATACATATATAAAAAAAACTGTCGTCAAAGGACAGTGAAACAACTATCAATATATCACATATTATAACTTTAAAACTAGTTTTAGAACAATAAAATGGTTGGATTATGACAGACGACACATTATAAAAACAGGCTATTGATCACCAACAACTAAAGTTAGGTCACCATACCAGGGACCATGGGGACTTGCAGTACCTTTGCTACCTGCATGGACCCCGGTAGGATTTACATCATCCCTTCAGTTACTGGTGATTATGGAGAAATTTAGCAAAAATTAAAACAAACAATTATTCTACGATTAAAAACCTGGTATATATGAAATACTTTTAATGAAGTCGGCGTACGCACCCTCTCTGGGGGACAATAATTTTACGCTACTTCAACCCCCATTAAGGGTACAACAACTAACAATCTCAGTTCATTATTATATACTACCAATTTATAAAATACATGTGTATATAACTTTCTACATCAAAATTTATTAATCAATTCAATTTCTTTTAAAAAACCAATAATTAAATGAGAGTTTATGTTAAAAAGATCCTTGAGTGATGATACTTTGAAATATTGATCCCTTGTAATGGCAAAATCAATACAGTCAAGCAGGACATGCTTGCCCGTTATTCTCTCGTCACAAGGGATACAAAACGGAGGATCCTCACCTTTCAGTAACTACTCGTGGGTGTATCGGGAATGGCCAATACGACATCGTCTTAGAATGACCTCTTCAAATCTGGACTGACAGCCCAGGTAGGTGTAACCTATAGTTGGTTTAATTTCATGTAACTTATTGATACCTACTTGGGTGTCCCACTTCATTTGCTTTAGATCTCTGATGTAAAACTAATAGCAAGCATATAATCACTATATGGGATTAGAAGTGGTGTCACAGATTTGTTGAGTGCTGCCTTTGCAGCAGCATCGGCTATTGTGTTACCAATAATACCAACATGGCTTGGTAACCAACAAAAGACGATGTCATATTGGCCAGTAGCAAGATCATTATGTAATTCTATTATTTCAAGTAAAAGTGGATGATCACAGGAAATATTCTTAATGGCCTGAAGACGGGAAAGGAAATCAGAAAATATGATAAACTGTTTATGTTTAGATTGTGAATGTATATATTGGAGAGCTGTTAAAATTGCCTTAGATTCTGCAGTAAAAATTGAACTGGCGTCTGGTATTCTTGATGATATGGTGTTGGATCCAATGACAGTGGCACTAGCAACTGCACCACCGTCTTTGGATCCATCTGTGAAAATAGATTTGTAAGTGTTATAGGTGCCTCTTAGCTCATTATAATTTTGTTGATAAAGCAACTGATTTGTATCTGATTTCTTTAGGTTGGTTAACGTCAGATCGACCTGTGGCTTTATAAACTGCCACGGAGGAGAAGACAAAATCTGAGTAGGAGATATAACTGTAAGGTTAATCAGGTTAGC